AAAACGGATTTACGAGGAAACCTACTACTAAAGCCTCCATCAGTAATATCACTGTTACACAACTTCACTCTTTAAAGGTCGTTCGCACGTCACCGATTTTCATTTACCTCCGTCAGGTTGGCTCCGGCGGCGGGTCTGCTCGGCCGCTCTTCGGGTGTATCATGCCACTTACGAATCTGCGTCCCATTCACTACTTTCGATCCCCGGCGGTCGGTAACGATAAACGGACCTTGCCATCGACTGCCTAGTTTCCGCGATCCCAGTTCACTCCTTCCAGGATTCTGGTGATCCTCCCATTTGACCTTCGCGCTTATGGGGATTGACCGTTCCTTTCTACTCGCCGTTTTCTGTCAAGTCCTTTCCTGGACGGCGGTCAAGTTTCCTCGAGCTCTCTTCCTTTCTTCCTCTAGCTCTTCTGGAGACAAGTGTGTTGCCGGCCACAACCTGATTTCCTGATCAACCGGAAGGCGCGGATGTCGACCGTACATCAGCATGAACGGGGACTTGCCTGTGGTTGGCTGTATGGAAGTACGGTGAACTAGCAAGCTCAATTCCCAGCCACCTTCTTTGGCCGCCAGCCAATCCTTGATCGTTCGGTTATTACGTTCGGTTAGGCCATCTGTTTGCCGGTGGTATGGTGACGTCCTTAGCCGTCTGATACCCAGCTTCTGCAAGCAATTCTCATCCCGGGCCAGTAGGCCCTCTGCCGAAGTAAGCCGTACGTCTAGGTGCACCCCGTCTGTGCCATCTCGTGGCATTCGATGATAAGCTTCAGTCTCAAAACGCGAGGTATCGCGGGCGGTACAGCATCCGAACCGGTAACGCTCCAGGAAATTATGCCAGCTTCACCCAGCCTCATCCAATCAAAGTTACTCTGGAACATTTCAAATTCCCTCTCTCCCTCTCCGTTCTCAATGCTCCTTCTATCCAACAAGGCGGCTGCAACCTTTCGTGACACAAAATCCTGCCGTTGCAGTTGCCCCAACCTTCCCGGATCCAGTTCGACAATGAGGCTATTGGTCCAATCATGATCCTGGGGGCCTCATCTTCATCCTCTGGTCTTGACAGTCAATCAACCAAGTGGTTCTCCTTCCCTGGCACGTGCTGGATCGTGAAGTCGTTGCTTTGTCAAAGCAACTGTCACGTGGTCAGAAACACAGCATCCAAAGACATTGCTTCAAAACCTTTTGTACACACAGGACACTTGTGCGGCCATACCAACCTCTGTCCGTTCAACTTTATCACTAACCCCGTTTTATATAAAATCTGCATTCGCGACTGCTGTTGCCAACTTTTCATGAACCTATTTCAAGGACACACCACATATTGGGTGTTTACTGTTAGGTTTGAATAGGTGAACGGTGAGCAGAACGTGGTGAAACCTAAAGAGTTAAGTCCCTTAGTGTTCGTTCTCAATGGGATTATCCGTTGAGCATGTTAGCACCGTGATGCTTTGGCTAAAAGTTTCCGCTATTGAATGTAACACCACCTTGTCAAAGAGAATACACAGAGCCGGTGTGCGAACGCGAATTCAGGCGATTCTCTGAAGCTGAACGTAAAACGAATTCGTTTAATCTTAGTAGCCACCTCCATGAAAATGAAGTTCAATTAACAGTGACAGAACAACTATTGACAAGTAGCACGGTTCGCACCCTACTTAAACATGGGCTAAGTGAGGTGCTTACTCAAATTCGCATGAGCAAATTGTGCTAGTGTAGTCACTAGCTGACTGTTTTGACAGACGTGATAAACTTTGTAAATCAATCGTTGTGGGGCCCAGCAGTCATAATCCACCCAGTGATCCCTAGAAAAAGGTCCATTGCCCATCTGTTCCTCCATGTTCACACAGCAAGAAAAACGCTTTATACGACCAGTTTGTTTCCGACCTCACAACTTTTGTCCTTACAGAGTAATCCCCAGTTCTCTTATTACTGTACGGAAATTGGCGAAAATTCGCCAATTTGAAAGCAAAACAAACAGACTGAACTGAAATTGCCCAATTTGGAGTGGGATAGAAATCTAGACAGAACTGTGAGTAATCATACTGTTGGGTAAATGCATATCAACCTATAGTCGGTGTTCCAACGACTTACCAGAAAGTAATCACGGGATTACATCCATAATTTTCATCCACCTAAATGAATTGTATCCGAACCACAATATCCATGCTACGTTTTCTTTTCGCGTGTGTGAGTCGGGGCCTCGCTTACTCCGGTCGGCTGTCAGCATCCCGGTGCCTGTTTATATATCATCAGGGTATTCAACACATCGATTTTCCGCAATCGATGACTTGATAGAGAGTGTGGTGTGATGGTCCGCAAAGCGCGTTTTATCATGTTTCACGTGGTTCCTCTGAGTGACGGCATTATCATCACTGGGACAGAATTCATACACAACGAAGTTAAAATTATGTCAAAGTGATTCAGGTTATCAAAGCTGTGCATAACTGCTTGCAGGATTATTGTCAGCAAGTAAAAAATCACGGTTTACTTAGGGATTATCGTGATACTTGAAACAGAGGCATGTTTTTGGCTACCACCTGAAAGCATTCGCCCGACTGGAGCGTTTCATTTTCCGCCACCACACACACTAATAGATTTGACATAAGGATTTTCGGAGCAGTCGACAGAATACGCTGAGTTGCGGGCACAAGAATCCAGACATCCCAGTATACCGCATCAAGGAAACTACTCATACGGTTCCTAGGAGCTCTTCAATAGCCCACCAGAGATTCAACATTGACTTAACGCAGTCGACAGAATACGCTGAGTTGCGGGCATAATAATCCAGACATCCCAGTATACTGCATCAAGGAAACTACTCATGCGGTTCTTAGGAACTCTTCAATAGCCCACGAGAGATTCAACACTGACTTAACATTGACTTATCTTCAGAATGAGTGTGTTTTGTCAGTTGCATAGAATTTAGTGTTCAAAGATAACACAAGGCCAAAGTAACTACAAGGACTGCGCTTACATTATGAAATTTAAGGAAGGCGAGCTTTGTTTACAAAATGAAAAAGCAGTAAATCGATCTGTAGCTCTGCCACATTAGTTCAGTAGATATTTGGTCTTCCACAAGTACTGCGAAGCATTGAGAATACCTACTTGAATGTCCTTAAACGAGGTTATCTAACAAATTGGGTGGACTGACTCGAGAATCAAATCACTTCAACGTGGAACAGATCCCTCCCGGAGCCATGAACATCACTTATGTCTGGTGGCGATACTCATACGTATATCGATCAACTGCTACTGCTAGGTACTTTGTGTTTCGTTCATTTCAGTAGTTAATTTTCCTCGTTTAGTCGATTGGTGCTTGGCTATTATTCACTTGACAGGACTTAACTGCACTCAACTCCATTAGCGAATCAAGGCTTGCCTCGTCCGAGTCGCAATATGACACCAACATTTGCCTATTTGACCCGAAGAAGTCTCCAAATTAATAGGGCCGATGCTCCAGACTAGAAATCGGACGCGCACCGTTCAAAATATAGGTGTGTTCAGTCCTCACTTTCTCATTAACTTCTAATGTTTTGTGATTAGTGGCATCTCGTCACGTAAGTGTGTACGTATTTCAGTGTTGACGTGTGACTTGCCTCTTTAATCGATGACCAATAATTTTCTTGACTGCTCCAATCACTGCTACATTGGTAGAGAGTTCCAAACTTCCTCTCTGGTGACTGAGAGACACTACCACAAAAAATCAAGTCGACCATTTGGATAGTACTGATATGTGATTTGCGCCCAACTAGAAACTTGTCCAAGGGGTCCGTCAATCCGATAAACACCAACACGAAACAGTAATAGCTGAACACTCAGACAGTCGGTGGTAGTTTTTTCGGTCCAACCTCTGGCTCGGTTTGAAGGCCACAGCTTAAACGTAAAGAGTGGAATTAAGGCTGTCAATCAGATCTTACATAACGCGGTCTGGTTCAAAGCATATTCACCTTCTGGCTCGACGACAGCTAAGACAGAACCTGACTCACCAAGTGTCGTTACGCCTATGACACATGCCCAACCAAAGAAAACAGTAAAGCTAAGAAGACAAACTTTTCACCGAGGGTTTTTAGACATTCCAAATATTAGTTTGTTCTTATCGTAATAGAAGTAACTAGGTGACGTGATGACCTGTTTAAGATCCAAATGGAGTAGAGTAAACAGGTTTGTTGATTGTAAGATGAGAAGACAGATAGGAAAGAAATAGGAACAATGCCTGATGAAGTCATGGTATGTTCAGGAGCCGGTCTCATAGTCATAACTTCCTAAATATGCCGATTCGGGGTAGGAAGTTGTGTGACAGAAACTTCCTCGTCAGGAGATTTTTATGCTAGAAGCTGTGTAAATATTTCTATTTTAAATCAACATGAAGGCTTGTGGAAATGTGGTTTCTTTAGCGTTCCTTCTGGCAATTGCAGCTACGAAATGTGGAACAGGACTAAGAAGGTGTCGAAGATGTTACAGTGGGTTTGAAACAACAACAATGTCTGAATGATTTGTTTCTTGGAGACTGTGATTGGTGGGCCACGGTAGTTTCAAGGCCTTCAAATGCCTTTCTTGGTGACATCGAGGGGTCTGATTTAACCGTCTGAATATCCGGAAGTTTCACGACAAAATCCCAGTGAGATTAACTAAAGTCCACTGGCTCAGGCATCCTTCGTATGTACGAAGGGCTCAAAATATGTTGAGAAAACTGGTCGTTACAACCTAAATTTGATATGAGCGACTCACCATACCATAGCATCGCAAGCTGGATTGTGACCCACTCGAATAGGTAGTTGTACAGCCACTGTTTTCATAGAATCAATCCATAACACGCATTTCAGTAACAAGCGTGTTCATTAGATATTGCATTCCTGTCCACTACTTGATTATTATCATATATATAGGCCACTTTCCGTATTCCAGTTGGTGAACTCAAGTGATTATCTGTATACTGCAAGTTGAGTACAGTTTTCAATCACTAGCAACATCTATCACCAGAAAAATGAAGTCGCAATGGGCTTTCCACTCGCTTCAACGTCAGCAGATATCTTCGTGAGCAAACTTGAAAATATTTCTTGAAAATCGTTTGATGAACAACCACTTTTTAACCTCTATGCAGATATTTTTATCATTTACGAATCCAATCCGAAGATGACAAATCTCCTTGGACCTTTAACCTCCGCTGGCACTGTACTCAGCTTCACTGAAGACGAAAGAACCAATAACAATTTCTTGTTTCCGGGTGTTGCATTCAAAAGGAGCCAAGACGGGTTAATTGTGAGGGCTACATGCCAGAAATCCACAATCCACTCATCCGACTGAAGCCAGCCACCAAATCAATTCTGCGGAATCCTTAAGAGTTATTTATCGGGTGCCACTAAGTGTCTCTAAGACCATACGCCAAAAACTTTGGAAACAGCTGAGACAATCAATATACGGTTACTTTACCCCTCCCTTTGTCACCGATGAAGGCACATGAAGGCCTTTAGACTCTATTGACTCACCAACCGCACTTCCCAAATAAACTAATCAGACAGGACCCTTGTTTTGAACCTATTTTAAGGCTTTCAGAACCTCTGTAATCCTGTTCCATATTTTCTGGCTTTACTAATCAGAAGAGGTGCCATCAGGCGCACTTTTTTTTACTTCACATCGCACATACATGTAACTAGCGTCCGATTACCAAGACTTAGAAGATCTCAGCTGAGGAGTTCGGTGTGTTGCGTCAACCCACACTGTACAATGACACTAGTGCAGTAACATCCACCAGCACGAGTAAACTTCGTCGACCTGGCAGAAGTGACACAAGGATGCTAAACCACCTCCAGGTATGTGGCAATTCCTGAATCAATTGAGGAGTGCGAGGCAGATATCAAACCTCCAAAGGGGAACATCTCTTTCGAATAAGATAGGTTAGAACGCCACATTTTAGTTGATTTTAATTCGTAATCAGCATGTATAACAACAGAGGGATAATAGCTAATGAATGCACCAAATGGGATACCGCATAAAGCGCACCTTAATGGAGAAACTTGAGTACTTTACGGTTGTTAACAGTACTCGCTGAATGAGATACGATCAGTTTTCTCAAAGAAACAGTACTCACAGTTTACTAACATCCCTTCGACAGCTCATAACCAGTTTTGCCCTTCTTGTAGCTCGTCAGGTAATCACAGCCCCTTAATTTCCGCAAACTTTATGTGATACTTGAGCCTACACTGTAAAAAATTTGACAAACAAACTCACTAGCAAATTGATTGGTTTTAACTGGAGAGTCAACTGCGCTTCTCGTTTATGATATTCTCAAACTGGAATTGCTGCCCCTTCATTGGATTTATCTAAGTCTCCGTTAGCACCAACTAAGTTTATAAATCGGTGAGTTTGTCGAACTGTAATCAACGTGCGGCCACCCGTTCTAAAATACTTGTTTAAACATGGAGTGTATTCTGGAGGTTGAGACAGGCAACTCAGCATCTTGGAAGTATGTGGATTCCAGTAAAATGTTCGCTAAATTTTTAAAGGCTGCACGCAGAAATAATTTCACAAAGACGATGTTGTTTAGATTCAGGTACTTAAATAATGGTTAGCTGGCTCGAGTAACCAGAGCACAGTCTTCCTAAGTAGGACGAGGAACGAAGGTGGAACTATGAAACTAGAGTGAAAGAATGGAAGAGCCTAGGAACTTCGGTCAACGCGAAACAAGTGAAATTTTCAAACTCGAAACGTAAGGCGAAATACGTCTGAGTTCACTAGAGAATAATGCAAGCATTTCTAGACCAGGGAATGAGGCTGTATTGAATCATGCAGATATTCAAAGTAATAAGTTTTGGGAATGAAGTAATCGTTAGCAATTGCACGTGTGCCTAAAAAAGTGGGCTTTAAGAGACTTCTCGGCACTCTAGCGCACTTTATTCGAAATGCTGTGAAGGAGACCAGCTCATCCCAGCAAACAAGCTAGAGAGCCGCCTAAAATCTAGATTATGGTAGCCCATAAGATCCTCGTTGATATACTCACACCTCATCTAAGAGAAAAGATGTCTGATATGATTTTTAAAAAACAAGTAAGTGGAGAGGACAGTCATCTGGTCAACACCAGCATTAGTAAGATGCTGGTAAAAAATATGTCCTTCATAAGAGTTATATAGCACACATCTCGTGTAGGCATCATGATCGGCGGCATTGTTTGCAGATTTTTAATGAATGACTTCCATAAAAGATTGTGCGATAAAGTCAGGGAAGAATAGTCTGACCATTGTACACTGCTGTCCGGCTTCGGAGCAGGAGAATCAACAGCAACCTAAAAACCGGAAACATGGAGCGCCATTGTCTGTAGGCAAACCGGTAACTATCGCTGAGCTCCAGTACCATTTGCGTCCTTTTCAAAAGTCTCGCTTCCTCGGAACTAAACAGGTGGAATATGAGGGGTGTCTTTTAAGAATAAGGCTATTCACTAAAGTTGTCCCTCGTTGAAAGGGTCACTGTACCAGTATTTTTGATACCAGTTTGCAAGCACTTTCTGCTATACGGGCGCATACTTCAAAGTGTTCGGGTTTACGGGCGCATTACTTCACCGGAAGTAAAATCAGTAATATAAACTCTAAGGGAATTCTCCCTCCTCAGCATACAACACAACATACAATCTGAGGTAAGGCAAACTGCAAATGAATCATGCTAACATAGAAACTTTTGTCTTGCTTACTCAGTTATTTCGAATGAACCAGCAATTACTGACCACCAAATAAAGTTTTCCAATATAAAATACCCAACGCCTCTGTGACATTTAATTTCTGTGTTGTATCGTGGGTGGCCGTCTATTGGTTACGCGTGCACTAATCCTGCCAGACTACGCGATAAGAAGGCAGGAGAATCGGGACACGCCTGTATTGTCAGGACAAATCATACAGAGCGTCTGCGTAATATGTAGGATGACTAAGTGGCCAAATATGGTCGTTCACTTGTCTGTTCTGTACAGCCAATGGCGGTGTTCCGGTCATGAACTATTTCAGCCCCACTTCATTGGTCTTATATTGCTCCGCCAATGCACCTACTTTTCGAACGTGTCGTCCTTGGTGACGCGTCACTCTCTGCACATGTACTTTTTCCATGTCTGGGCGCGTCCAGACATTCTGTATCTAGGTTATCCGACACATATCTCGGACTTATCCAGCCTCCACTTATCTGCGCATCTGTGAATAACGTAGTGAGAACTGAGACCATGTCGGATTTGCACTTGGTACGGGCACAGACCAAAATAACAAAAAAGGGGGAATCGCGTTGTACAATATAAAGGTAGGAGAAAGGAATCAACAATTATCCCCTTTAAGTATCGTTTTGTTCAGGAAATTGTCCTGAGTGGTGTTTGTTGTATCATGGATAGCCGTCTATTAGTTACGCCTGCACTGAGCCTGCCAGACTACGCGATAAGAAGACAGAGAACTCGGTACACGGCTTTATTGTCGGGACAACACATACAGAGCTTTTGATTAAATATACAGGATGACTACAGGGCCAAATATGGTCGTTCACTTGTTCGTTCTGTACAGCCAATGGCGGTGTTCCGGTCATGAACTATTTCAGCCCCACTTCATTGGTCTTATATTGCTCCGCCAATGCACCTACTTTTCGAACGTGTCGTCCTTGGTGACGCGTCACTCTCTGCACATGTACTTTTTCCATGTCTGGGCGCGTCCAGACATTCTGTATCTAGGCTATCCGACACATATCTCGGACTTATCCAGCCTCCACTTATCTGCGCATCTGTGAATAACGTAGTGAGAACTGAGACCATGTCGGATTTGCACTTGGTACGTTCTGGCCTGAGAGCCTATGCGAGTACACCCTGTTCTTGCATGTCATAACATCACCAGCTGTTATCGATACTGACAACCTTAATTTGTTCGAGTAGCCAGACGGTTTATTTCTTCAATCTGAATAAGAAAAAAACATCTTTTGGTGATGGTGCTCCTGAAATTTCAAAGCAAACGTGGCTTATGTGTCATTCTTTTTCTTTGTTCAAATACTTTGAATTGCCCCTATTTTGAATCCCCGCCCCACTTTTATACTTAGTCATCTTCATCACCAGAGATAGAAATATCAACGTTTACAATAATGTCTCACCACCGTACACACTCCCCACAAAGTTGCTGAAATCTCTTTAACTATTCAACACCTCATGATTATGTTACCTGTATAAAATGTATCGTGCTATCTCAAATACCATTCCATTTGAAAAATGAGGCTGCCTATTGTAAGACACTCAGCTGAAGAACAGAAAAATTCAGCTGGAATTAAGCGAGGCTCTCGCGAAAACCAAACTTACAAGCAAATGAGCGTATTTTTCGAATAAACCCAACTACATTCAAAGTTTCCTAATCAAAGAAAGAGAAGTGAGTGAGTGAGCGGGGAGACCACTCGCAAGCATTCTAGCGTGCCCACACCTCCAAGTGCTCAGTCAGACAATCTGGAAAGCAACAGACAGCACGAATGGCACTGACGGCGAATAGCTGCCACTGCCTGCAATGTCTGCAGCTGACCTTAGGAGGGTTACGGCGACTCCATCCTGGAAGGTGGGCTGCATCAACAGCACCTAAGCTCTTAGTAGTCCCCCACGACCTCTTCTGCCCCACCCTCCTTCCATTCTGAAGGAGGAACAGGGAACAAGACTCGTCCTGATAGAGGACTGCTCAGCATTCATGGCACATGACCGAGCAACTGAACTGATGGTACTAGATGTTATCACGGTTTAAACACTTGCTCCGAAAACAAATACCGGTTTTCTAATAACCTCGTTCCATATCCTTTGGCACCGTTAACAGGAGCAACGTTTATGAGCTTTAACCGAACTTAGTGCTATACTAGATAAAAACAAACTGGCCATGCGTTTCAGTTGTGTTACAGGTGTGCTGTGGAAACGGGAGAGCTCAGTCCTGGCATTATTTTGTGCGTGACTTGCTTGGCATTTTCCAACGCCTTTCAAAGAACAGTAATGATAAAGCAACAGGTTTACAACGTTCAAGGATTCTTTTCTCTGAAAAAGTGTGCACGGGCTTTCAAAGTGCTCCCAAAAAGAGACCTCACATGGGAAGCTGTACTTTCTTCCCAGATTTTACTACGATAAGGAGAACACTTACAATAGACAAATTCATACAACCTCGATCCAGCCCATTACTACAAGTCTAAGACTCGATTCCATTAGAACAACCAATGTTGTCGCAGCTATTTGGTCCGCCTTGGCTTGAGTTTAATCACATTATTTGGTTTTTGGATTGACTGTGATGATCGTAAACACTTTGAACAGTGTTCTGAAACGCTATCAAACTCTAAATGAGCCAGCTCAAGCACTAGGTCATTTGTTCCTGTCTCGTTGTTTAGACACAATTACATAACGTCGAAGGAATACACAGAGCTCCAAGTGGTGTCCGATTATAGGAAGAACCGCTATTTGGTGAACTGACTGTAAATATCGCATGAAACGTTTCGCCACTGACCCTTCTGTAGTTGGTCGCAAGCAAAGCCATCGTTTAAGAAGAATGTTGGTGTGTAAGCACCGCGCGAACGGTCGCTTTTTGAAACGAATCTTTTACGGTAAACTGAAGTACATCCGTTCTGTGGCCTGTCAAACAGGCATCATCATCAGTGATTTTTATCAGCAGATAAACTCAATACGTGTCAATTAATTGTGCCAGCTAATTGGAACTCACATTCCATGATTAGGTAGTTTAGGAACTGGAACCTAAGCATCATCCATGAAATTTTGAGTTAGCCCTCATCCTGTTTTGATGTCCTGATATTTTCGGTAGAGTCAGACCATCAGAGACAAGTGGAGGGGGCACAATTGACTAATGCCACGCAAGAACGGCCAAACCGTACTTTTTAAGTCCTATTCTGATTGGCCCTATGAGCCGAAAACAAATTCTTGCTGTTTTACAGGTACGTTCATCCCCATGATGTGTGTCACTCATCTCCGGTGTATGAATGGACCCAAAGCAGACCCTAGAATTTTGTTTTGCGGTTAACTGTCAACGCCCATAATCCCTATAGTCATTCTGAACTGTCGGCTATCCTCCAGCCCATTATGATACACTGCTGACTCGTGTAGTTCTTGTTACTGTTACATTCGCTTCGAAAGGCTCAAAAGTTTTGTCATGTGTACTAGTACGTTATTTACCAATGGTATGCACGTCGCCGCACTTTTCGGCGGAATCTGAACACGTCCATGATACTTTTGATCGTGTGACCATTTTCCTGAGGGTACTATGTGATCCATTTAGCCAGACAGATTGCAATTTCGAATTATGGGCCTTACGTAATCCCAAAACAAACCTACCATACGCCTCAGTCGACCACTCCGAATCCACGTTATTGTGTTTCCAACTGTTTACTACTACTTCAAGTTACTTTACAGCTTGATACCAACAGAATGCAGTGTAAATCAAAGCCAAGCGATCAACGCTACCAAATATGAAAGTTTTATTATCTAACCCCTCGTGCAAGTGTCTGGAATGCATCTGAGAGCAAGCCAATGGGCAACAAATACACTAACTTTGTAGTTGTCATTAGGGGAACGTCGACGGCTTCGCATTTTTTTAGTGGACTAATGCCTGTTGGAGGCAGTCTTAAACCAACACCCTCGGGCCCGTCATGTTCTATCAACCCACTCAAGTAATAGCGTTATTTATTATAACCAGATAGATATATCAGTTCGTACTAGTGCTTTCAGTGCTTGCTCGGAAAGCAGACAAGTAAATCATACTCCACACAGGCTGACGGGGGGTCCTCAACCAGGAGGTACAAAGCGAAATTGCACCAAGGCTACAAATCTAGAAGTTTACTTTTTCTAGCATAAAAGGCTCGGAGGAGGAATCAGTGAGCTTGACTTATGATGTAAACGACCAGTCATTGGGTCAAACCCCGTAAGAATTTGTATATCGATGGTAAAGAGATTGGGTGAATTTTCTGACCAGTCATGTAAATAAATACAGAAAGCGGAGTTATAAAAGACTCTTGTCCTCAGTTTGGCACGTTATTTGAGTATGTACGTTTTTCCAGTGTCAGTTACTGGACAATCACCAGACAGCTCAAAAGGAGGGTAATTCCTCTGGGTGTATGAAACTTTCTCCGGAAGTTGTCACTCTTGGAGCCAGTGAGTACGTGAACGCATGATGTGGTCTCCGTTATTGCAGGATAAGTGGCACTGCGTCCTGTCTAACTGAAAGCTAATCACACTGCCGACCAGCCACTCTTGGCAGTTGAGTGTTCAAACACTGGTCTGGCAGTCACGTGTTCGAAATTATCTGCGGTTCGTGAGGTGCGCACTGCTCGTGATTCCCAACAAGGATGAAACCGAAATTTTCTGGCAGTTTTTGAAGTTCGTTTGCCAACTTACACGCAAAATAAAACAACTATCTGCTGAGAGCTGCTAGGTGAGTACCGTTTACTTCTTGACGATGGGCTGATGCAACAAAAGCCAAGTAACAGAGAAACAGTTCTGAAATTATCGACAATGGCATGCATGGTTTACCAGCGTGTGGTGAATGAGCCTACTTCCGCATGATTTACAAGACAATAAAAGGCTGGTCACGATGTCGTATCATGTTGGTTATCGGGTAACCCACGGCTAAGCCGACTGACTCTCTTAACTTCCTATAAAGAGACGTTGATAAGAGCACGGCAACACAAATGGTGTGCGCAAAATCCATTGATTCAAGCTGCTCTGCAAAGTAGCCTAACCCAACCCTGTCTTTAACGCGCTGTTATCGTGTGCGTCACCCATAAATACTGAAAGGAAGTCATTTGATAGGTTAGCGTTTCACAACGTATCTCATGGTGGAATGCTGCATAGTTGTTCGTTTGACGTCAATTACTGGTCATCTTTTGTATTCTTGATTGACGGATCAGCATTAATCATCAAAAAAGGTCTATATGTTGAATCTCCTTGCATACAACGGTCATAAAGTCGACAACTGTGATACACCTTATTTGAGCATGAGTTGCGTTAGTCAGTAGCAAGCACTAGAGCCAAGCCTATCAAAATCGCTTACCGTTCTCCGGTATACGTGTGATTGTCCTTCATGTCAATGGAATTGTGCACAGCATGGCACGTTTTGTGAAGCAAGTTCATTGAAAGGCACTGCACGATACATTTGCTTGATCCAGAAATCAACCAATTCAACTGAGTTGAAACTCATTTTCCAGCAGGTTTTCCGAAGTCCTTGTGATTCTTGTGGGGATTAGATTAACACATCTCTTTAGGATATCACTCTACCCTCAAATCGGACGAATCGAACAGACACACATGGACGGTTGACCAAGTCTATCAAACCGTGCGCCATTTGCCGCAACCAATCAAATTCCACACCAATCCGGTTGCACACGCAAGGTTAATTTTACCGGCTGGCGCCGTTGGTCGGTACGTAGATTGTAGTGCGTGGACGTATTGTTTATACCCCCCCCCCACACACACACACAAAACACGAAACGTTTCTGGAATTTAGGATCACGGCCATTCTTTAAAGTCTGCATTAACGCTAGCACGCCTTATTCATTGGTACATGATCAGGTGGTTGTTGGTCTGCTCATCGAGCTTGGTAGAGTTGCAGACCCTTCATCACCATTCGTGGATCAGAACGACAGCCACCTGATCAGTTGCCAATGAATGTACCCTGGCTATCAGTTTTTCAATAGATTACCGCAGAGTCGGCCTTCTATTGAATACAGAATTCAGTCACCTAAATCAGTTCACCTTATTCACTACCAATCCTAAACATGATGGCTTCTGAAATGCATTGGCATCAAATGACTGGTTGACTTGTGTAGACTCGTGTAGAGTTAAACACCCAGTTACAAACTGAGGTGGTTTTGGCTTAAGACTTGAGACCTAAGACTTAAATGAAACCCTCGATTACGTGCAGCGCTAAGGCTTCAGTAAAAAGTGACATTATATCAACCTTATGAGTAGTGTGCTAAACTGGAAACTCAATGAATAGTTCGTTCGCTGGTTATTTTCAGGTGATAGCAAAAAGGTTCCATTTTTCTTGAGTATTCCTAAAGCATTTTCAGTGAAAAAGGTAAGCTGCTCAACCATGAATTCCAGCAAAACATGTAAAACACAAGACACCGTCAGTGATTACGAAATCTAGAGTGCTGAATTCACTGGCAGTTAGATGAGTTTCAAAATTCAAAGGAATAATGTCCACATATAAAGTTTAGGTTTGCGTAGCCTGGAGTAGCAGGCAGTACGGTTCACGTAAGGTTCCGATAGACATGGCAGTACGACCAGACTAGCTTGGCTGCGTTGCAGAGAGATTCTCCGTGTATTTCATTCCCTAAAGCAACTGTTAATTAACTTCATGAAAGCACTATTTCCAAAGTAATACTAAGTAATTAGTGTCAGAGTCCGGCAACGTGACGAATTGGAGGGGGGGAATATTGACAAACTGCTATTTGCTTATCAGCTTTGTCTAAAATCTCTGTATGGAAGGTGTTGACTACGTTTACTCCCTTTTCCTAGCGAAAACCAGAAATTATAAACACCACCATCATAGTGCTAGAGCGTTGTTCCAACGTTTACGTGTCACACATTCAACCGACGGAGAAATAACATAGTCAATTAAGTTAGTGGTGATAATGGTCACAGCTGGGGAAGTACATAACAGAAAAAAGTCTGCCGTAGAAGACCATGAGAGTTCCGTCTAATTGGTTGAATTCCACGATGATATTTACTACCCTGGAAGATGCCAAGAAGACTGGTAGTCGTCCCAACTGCAGTTATGATGATGACCGTTTAGGCTACCGTAACATTTCCCACGAATGTCTACTGGCTAATAAAACAGTAGGTAATTATTGGGTTTCGGACCGAGGCAGACTTGTGTTGTGTATTTTCGTGACCGGAACTTATTTTGTCGGTAAAAAAACATCACATGCGCCGAAAGGGTTGGCGTTCTCCGGTGCTCAAATAATCTTAACAGGACACTGGAGTTCAAAATATCTATCAGCCATATATAAGACAGACGTAGACACAAAGAGCAAGAAACACTGGTATATTTGTGTATCTATGGCAGTTAAGCACCGGTGTTTACTATTGCTGTTGTCCATTGTGACAACAATGCTAATGACAAAAGGATAGGATATCGGACTGAAAAAACCTACCCCCGAAAAAAGTACGATTTCTTGATTTCGGAATGTCACCGTTGCAAACTTAGCTCTTTTCAAACTGGTTCTCCTCCTGATACCCAACAACCTGTCAGCAGGGTTCAGAGCACCTCCGGGCTTGATTTTACTGACGCTGTAATGCTATGGCACTATTACCGCAACTACTTGAAAGTGGTGAGTAGTCAGAGAAAAACGCCCAAAGTTCACGGGTTCTAGTACAGGATGATGAAGTGTCAGTGGTTTCCCTCGTATGAGAATGACTACCTAAAGTCTAGTCTAACAAGTCTAGATTTTTTACCCTTTGTTTATAGTGTGGGGAACTTCAGGAACTGCCACTGGCGATTCCGTCCTTTAAGCGAAGGTAGACAATTCTGAAATGCAACAAAGCACAGTACTATTGTTTCGTTCACATCGGTGATCATCACGAGTCTTCAGATAGATTGAACCCCAAAAATTTCCAGTCAGTAGTTTGAAATCAAGTCGTTACGGCACGGGTCGCTGGTCGGTAGTGTTTCTAGTTCGCGGTTTGAATCACGGATTCCAAATCATGTCTGAATTATCATTCTTACTGACCTACTTAGAGCTTGTTGCCTATTTTCCCGAAAAATGGCTGTATTGTGAGGTTGAACGTTGGCAGTCCCACGTTGAACATGCCAATATCACGCTTCATACACCCAAATCGACAGACAAGGAACAAAGGGGACACCTTCGAATAATTGCGACTTTAGTACTGTTTATCACTTTTGCTTAATATTCGGTCACTCACGTCTGCCTTCAGTTTGCGAAATGGCGTGAACTGAATTGATCTCGTTCGAAGTTTTATCCACAGGTCCACAAAAACTGACATCATTTCTTCAGCTTCTTCATGTCCGCGGCAAAGATGTCTTGAAGACAAATCCGGCTGTCTATCAACCTCCTAACCTCCCATGAAATAATCCGGGTCCACGTTTGGATATATTGTTCTGTTTCTGTCGTTTCATCCGCTTCAATAAATTCCTTGTGTCAAAGTGCTTCAAGAGGCTCGATCATGGGCGCAGGTAATAATAATGTGTAGTGATTGACATAACTATTGATGAAATAACGCGTTCTAGCTCACATGATCTGTTTGACGTAATAAACCGTAGTAAGACGACTGAAGACAGACATCAGTGCAGTGATCGTAGAGCGAATGGATGTTCGACTAAGTCCATTGGCAAGTGGACTCTTGAAGCGAATAAGCGAACGAGAGACGGATGTGTTGGTGAAAATGTGATGCAAAGCACTGGGACATCAAGCACTGAGAAACAGAACAGTATGTTGCCATCATCGTTCAAAATGCACACATGGGTATAAAACCGAAAAAAATACCTGTCAGAATACAATTTGCTTTCCCTCTACCTTTAGATCCTCACAAGGTTTTCTTGCAACCACTGGTAAGTTTCAAACCCAGACTGCACAGCCAACGGCTGTTCTTTAGTGTAAAAGCTTCCCTTGCAACGGACATTCTTAAGGGGACTAATAGAGAGTTGTGTATTCCCATTAACCAAAACCGCAAAATCGGTTATACCAAACACAGTTGGTTTTCCGTCTGCGCCGAAATGGAAATGATCTGGAAAGCGAATGACAAGACCTGGTAAGGCAAATTTAGAATCGTTTTCCTGAGCGAAATTATGTTGTCCCTTTTGCAAACTGACACAGAGAAAATACTTCCTTAAACTGATAATCTCGTCAATAGAAGCAACCCGAGAAACATGCGTTTTATTTACACAAAATGAATCAGTTTAATCCATCATTCCTACTTTCAGTCACTACATTTTAATCAGCGGCTTGGAAAGGCTGATATAGTTGCGTAGAGGAATTGCTGTTAGTGAACTCATATCCTTCCATACTCGTTCAGAACCAACAGGAAAAGAGGACACAATAATTTTGTTGCACGAGAACTTGTGATTTTCGATTACATCTGGATCCAGTTGTCATATTCGACCCTTTCCCACTTTCACCTTTCTTTCTACAATCGGCGTAAGTTGCGAAGATTCCGCAATGTGTCCGTTTTTCTGCTGGTGATGAAGGTAGGTCCCAAATTTACCCGCTAACCAGAAGAATCGGCTTTGTAATTGAGGAAACCACACTTTTGACTGCCCCCTGAATTAACGATGACCACTCTACTAATTCTGACTACTCGTGGCTGTAACCTTTTTATGTAGCAATTTTTGCTTGTCAGCCGCTCGTTCGCCTCCTGGCGATTAGCATCGTTTTTTAACCAACACTCTCCGTCTTCATGTGCAGTTTGGTAGCCAGGTTGCTTTCGATTACTTGCCTTGTGGTAGGGATCGATTTCATCTAGTCTCGTCCGATTATGATGTACCACAAACAACTGCCTCCTGTTTCGTGAGCTGCGCACTGCTGACAATTCCCAATATGGATTAAATGGCTGTACAGTGCTCTTCGGCTTTTAGCATAGATCGTTTTCACCTACATAACGAACTCTCACCATAAAATTACCGTATCTTCTCACATTAACATCAACTATGCCCTGCTTTGACTGGTCCGTTAGCCCACGCCATGAGGCATTAAACTGAATTTTGTCCTTACGAAAGAGCACACAGTGGGCATCTCCAATTTGGAGATCGCAGTTTGCACCTTGGATATTCAATATCCAAGGTAAGTACATTCCACCACAAATCTATCAGAGCATGCCCTGTATACGCAAGCAATTGTACACGAACACTACTTTGATGATGTTCGTCCGAGTCAGCTAGTGCAACAGACGCCTGAAACCTGTCCAACAAATGTTGACTGATATTTGATAAATCGAGTAAGTAATGGCCGTAATGCTAAATGGCTGGATGGTCCTAGCTCTGTTCACATTCGCCTTTGTAAACATATAATTCCTCGCTCTCTAAGGACTCAAGCGGGTGCTCAAACATGAAATAGCTTTGATGGGAATTCGGAGACTACGCCAGCCCAATTAGCCCCAAAAGGGCAGAGTGGTGGGCAACCAAAGCATTTTCAACACTCTTAGTAGAGGTATAGTATAAAGAACTACATCGATATGCCATTTATCAACCCAAGAGAAACATAGGGCAACCATGATGCAGCACACCTGGTTGGAAAACGTCATGAGTCTTCAGTGTACCTCATCTTAATTCGCAAATGTTTAACTCTCATGTGCTCACATTTATTTTTTAATGCACATGTTATAGCGGCGGTTCAGTGAAGCTGAGTACGCTCCGTCACGTGAACACATTCTCTCGTTGAGTTCACCACATAAGGAAATCTATAGCACGCCAAAACTCCAGATGCATCAGCTGTGGGACTACACCGCACAATTTTTATGCTTCATGGTTGTAACAGTGTCTAGAACGATGCAATGCGGCTAAAAAAGGATCCCGCTTTTTTAAATTGATACATGCATAGCTGCCAAAAGGTGAGGCGCAGACAAAGGAATACGTGATACTTGAAAGGACGAAACAGCAAATGTTCGCGTTGCAGGTATTAAAAACAATACATACGGAAGAGCAATCGAATCAAAAGTTATCCTGGCGCGATTACCTGCCACAGAAACTACAGTGATCCAAATACGATAAAGCAGTTGACTTAGGGAGTCTTGGTAATTCCGGTCCATCAAATGGGTCAGACGATTGTTTTGGTTCACACCGACCCGCCTGACTTATAGCATTCGGCCTACAATGAGGCACTCAGTGTGCTTAAATCATAAATCCACAAAAGAGGTCCAGCTTTGTGACTGACTGGACGGCTAAAATATTTTCCAGGAACAGTGGATGCGATGTACCACCGACACGAGCAGGTTAACAGGTGTTGACTGCTGCTTCCCTTGTAGCGAGGAGCAGATCCACTAAAGTATTGAACCACACACCCCACCGTACCATTTGGCCCGCTTCAAGTCATGAATGATCCCCGCAGAATAACCAAACAATATCGGACAGTTACAATCCGACTGCGCCGAAGTGGATGGAGAAGCACTTATGGCAGAGCGTCTCCGTAAACCGCTTGTCCGTACCATCAGATAGCTGCCACAACCACTCAAACTAACATCTCAAGTTTACTGCGTTCGCGCAGTAAACCATCACCGAAATGATGGTGAAGTGCTGTCAGGCTTTTTCGTGGTCCAATCTTTCAGATTGCCGCGTCAGGTCTTCTTGAATAAACCATAGTGCCGTTAAAGCACAAGAGACAATAGTGACGTTGACAACAGTGATACTGTGTTCGTTATCTCTGAGACTCCCTGTTAGCCCAACACAATTGTTCGCACGCTGATTAGCCTATTCACGACTACCAAGAAAACGGGAAATCCGTTGAATTCAAGCAGCGGTGAAACAATTCGATTTCCGCCCGTAGCCTGTTGGCCTACTAAAGGCGCTCGATCGATGTGTGGTGGTACACGGATAATACGGCGACGGAATAATTGACTGAAGTCACGCTATCTGCATATCAACTGCCGATCGATACCAAATGTGTGCAGTCGGTGCACCCACCCGCACACACCGTGACTAGCTTACAAGCGGTAAGATGTGACAACAATCAGCTGACTTGGCTCCTCGAAAAACGCGAGTTATGCGAAATCAGCTTACAGGTGACTCATTAAAATCCACCGGAAAGGGATACAATGCACTCAATTACCTGCGATTATCACCGCAGTCTGGAAACACATTAATGGGCATCTGGGTCCACAAACTGTAAAACAAATGTCGGTCATGTACTAGGGCTGAAGGCTCACATCCAATCAACCAAAATCTTTTCTCGGACCTCTTGTCGGAATGAAAGTATCCCAGGGTTCCTACCCCATCCAAACGGCCTCATGTTTATCTGTTTGGTTGTAATATATTTACCGCGATCAATTCCCTGCTCTGTACATCTGGAAGTTGCTACCCATTGCTTCAACTGAGCAACAAAAAACTTCGGTAATGCCACTGTAATCCACAAAGCAGTGATTGTGTCATAATTATTAGTCCATGTGAAGAGGGGCCGAAAAGGCAAACGAGAAAAGCAGTGCATGCTCTAGTCCTGGGCTGGGGCGGAGCACTAAGCACAAACGAGAACACGGAATACGAGAGAAACGGTCAAAGTTGACAGTTCAATTGAGATCATTACGTACAAAACATGAGGAAAGAGTACAGCATTACAGGGAGCCATAATGTGATGCGTGACTCCAGGATCACCCCTATCAAAACTCAGCAAGATAATAATAATAATGATTAATAATAATAGCAAACGGAAGGGAACAGAGTGGACCAGGTGTAAACGGTGGATGACAACCGAAGGGAATTCCGACGCATGATCGGTGAGATAAAAGGACATAGATCCTCACCGATTTTGAAAAGCAGAACAGGCACAAAGGGAATTTATACGGTTAACCATCCGCCAAGCAATGGGGGAATAGCCGTTTGATTTCCAAAAAATCAGATGCTTGTGTGAAAAAATGGGCGACTGGCACTGATCCGAATATGAACAGCCGATTTGGGGCCAAAGGGATTCTCACGAGGAGGACCTCATTCTGTGTAGGGTTGTGACGGGATAGGAGGGCGAAGAATTGGGGTTTATATCAAGCAGCACTTTCGCGTCTGAGTTACCTTTGGTGGAGCCAATGCAGCAATGATTGCCTCGTCCAGCACGGTTTTCAAACCACGCTGCATAAGAAATGAAAAAAATCCATACTTCCATAACCAACAGTAAAGGTGATTATGTAGGGAGCAAGAGCCAGAAAAAAATGGTAACTAGTAGAGCTGTGGTTACAGTATGACGCATCACGTAACTCACAGTATTTAAGGCTCACCATGTAAACGTGACCCCACAGATCAACTTGACAAACTTCTGAAAACGTTGTGGACGGAAGTATTCTGTAACTGTATGCAACTTACATACACATATCCATATAAATCCGGGTGACATTCTAAGCCCAACTATAATTAGTGATCATATCCAACACAGAGACGAATGGGTAAGAAACCAGTATTCATGAGTAGCTGACTGACCTAATGAGACCGCCGTTCACAGGGCTTAAGCAACACTCCAAGGGAAACAACAGATGAACTTAACATGAATACTAAGGGTAGTACAGTGGACCACTACCTAACATTTCTTCAAGTTCCTAAGTGATTCCAGACTATCCCTAACTTTTCAAGTTACGCTCCTGAGAGCTCAGGATAGAACTGACTGAAAGATTCACCATTCCAACCCGATCCCGGGCTTCCGATTGCTCTTGTTCGTGCTTTGGCAACCTGATAGTAGCCCAGTCCTTGTGCTTGCTTCAGGGTACACGGCAGCTATGCGCTGAACCAGTACTTTATTCCGACTTTTCGACTACTCCTCTCTAAGCCTGAGCAACCTGAATGTATCACTCTTGTACGACAGCCATGCATGGAGAGAAAAATAGGTATTTATTTCGGTTGTCGTTGGATTTAAAGTGTCTATATCTACACGAGTGCCATATGGGTCTAAACGCCCAAAGAACTGGTACTGTTCCGATTTTCCAGATAGTGGTCAGAGGCAAGAGTATATGGTCATTTTATAGCCATCCGTGAATCTCAGTTAGCTGGCCACTGAGGTCATGCTTCTGATCCGTATAATGATATGTAGCGCACCGCAACATTTTAAACTCCACCCTTGACAGATAAGCTGATGTTACCCGTATGCCACAGGTGATGCAGGTACACGAAAGCTGTTCTGGCTTTCCCAATCCGAATGGAAACATCGTCTTTGGCTAGACCACCAGAACTGAAACAGGTAGACTAATTCTTCTACTACCGCAATCGCCCTATCCGAAAGCATGACGTTAGGGTTCGGGCCCACCCAGTCTTGTAGCAGCACTTTATTCTTTAGAGATGTAAAGCGTATGTAAAACTCTGAGGCAGGATTATTTAGATTATTCAATATCATCTACATTAATATGGCTTCAGATACGAGAAGAGCTATGTGTTATCGATATCCGCAAGCATGAGAATAGGGTTCAAACCCGCCCAGTCTTGCAGCAGCAGATTTGGGAACCGGTTCTGACAAACACGCAATTCACCTGTTTGGCACCGACAGGTAGTCTGTGAAAGGTTTTCATGGGTACATGGTGAGGATGTCAAGTAATCGGAATACAAGTCGTCTGTGAGCACCCCAAAAGAGCGGCGTAGGGAGATGAGTGTAAGTAAAGTAGAAAATATATAAACAATTGAAACAGTTGCAACCCAACCATCGATATCCCTTCGCCCTGCGCCTAAAAGCAAGAATGTAAATCTTATGTGCCATGACTATAAAATCGGTGCCATAGCTGGTTCCGAACGAAACCATAAACAACCTTACAGCTACACTTTCAGTGGAAGAACAACGTACACGAGTCACATTCACATTCACAGGCGGTGCGAAAGATTTACCAACGAAGTACGTACGGACGTTAAGCCCATCATAGCTATCCGTACGCAAACGTCAAGATCAGAATATGAAACCATACTCAGAAAACCGGACTAGTTATTCAGTATTCGTTATTAACCTCGCGAGGAAGACGAGTTGATCTGACCTTCACATAACATTGCAATAGAGCTCGCAAACGATAGGGATTTCTAAGTGGGAGGGGGGGTGGAAAATACGTGCCACCCTATTGCTGTCTTCTATCCATTCGGGCCTAAACATGTGGTTACTTGGTGGGGCGGTGCCCGTAATGTCCCCATAATGTTGCAGTTATCCAAAAGATCGTAATGAAAACTAAGAATCGGTTTCACCAGAAAATCAAGTGAGGATTGTCGAAGCAGATAAAAAAAGGCGAATCACATAGGGCCATTTCAACTTGCTTAGAAACCAGCAAAACACGAACACTAAAAAGGTGAAAGATCACATCAGAACACAACAGGAGAATCGCTCTGACTCTATCGATGAGATGATAGATACAGGCCATTTCAACTTGCTTAGAAACCAGCAAGACACGAACACTAAAAAGGTGAAAGACCACATCAGAACACAACAGGAGAATCGCTCCGACTCTATCGATGAGATTATAGATACACAGCGCGTCGCTTTTTCAACCGGTTTTCTACAACCCCAGTAGATCTAGCTGGACGCTATCGCTGACAGACGTGCGAAACCCGAAATAGCCATTTCTGCGATAGTACCTTGCGAAGTTACATTCATTTGTCGGTTTGCTTGGAATTATCACCGGATTCACCTGATGAGCACCTGTGAAGCATGCTTTGTTTGCTCAGATGTCAATTCCACCTTTCCAAGAAGGTCCGAGAATCGGCTCCGTCAAAAACAGGGCGAACCTCACAGAATTAAACGGCGTTGCAGTGCGTGGCGTTTCGCTCGCCAGTTTCGTTTTAGGTAGCGTAAATTTCGCAAGTGCAGTCTTCATGACCACAAAGATCTATATCAATCCCAAAAGCCGTAGCCACCATTTCACTACCGCACAGTTCATGCATCGCAGTCCAACTCGGTAACGACGACAGAGTTGAATTCGCTTGCCTAAGGTCTGTGACGGTGCGCGGCAACCTATGTTAGTTCGCAGTTCGATACGGATTCCGATATCGTGCCGCTCAGCGAACGAACTTGGAAATGATTTGGCAAACATCATATGAATCCGACTGAACATTGGGCCCGCAATGTTTCTGGGGTTAGGCTTAAATTAACTGAGACAGTCTACTGCTCCATACACTTTAATGGCTCTACGGCCCAAGCCAAGTGCTACCTGACGGCATGTCTCAAAGTTGATTTCATAGGGTTGAATTGGATCAGCTAGCTGAATTTATTGGAAAAGCCTACTAATAACAGTTGCAATCTCACAAGCGCAGCAACCGGGAACGACCCTGCACAAATTTATGTTCCGCAACGTCCATTCGAGAATCTCTTGCCATGCTACGCACCCATACTCGCCAACGCTGTAGAAAAGCTAAAGTCAGAGTGCTTGCTCCTAAATTCTAGACAGTCTTCAGGGCCGAAAAACCCAGCAGCGTATGCATCATGTCCACTGTTGATCAGGAACCGGACTGACTATAGAAGGTTATTCTTCAATACTAATAACAGTTGCAATCTCACAAGCGCAGCAACCGGGAACGACCCTGCACAAATTTATGTTCCGCAACGTCCATTCGAGAATCTCTTGCCATGCTACGCACCCATACTCGCCAACGCTGTAGAAAAGCTAAAGTCAGAGTGCTTGCTCCTAAATTCTAGATCAGTCTTCAGGCCGAAAAACCCAGCAGCGTATGCATCATGTCCACTGTTGATCAGGAACCGGACTGACTATAGAAGGTTATTCTTCAACCGATCGACTACTCGGCGTGGGCCTTGTGGATCTTGATTGTCAGGAAAGCAAAAGGAACTACTTGCTTGTGCACAGACTTTCCAGTGGTCTCAGTGGTGCACTGGATACACAGGAGGATCCTCTGTCCATTTCGGATGGCGAAATAGAATGGGATAAAATGTCAGGTGGAAATTGATTTGGCTTAAAACCGAAGTCGCAGAGGAATCCCAGTGGGCTTTTGACCATCAATATACATGCCGATCTGTTACATATAGCCAGTATTCGAATGTCGTTTGGCGTCAAGACAGTGCAAACCATATGTCGACAAATCATAGATAGATTGCTGAGTGTTGCGGTGTTGCCGGGTAGTTGGACGATATAATTGTCACGGGTCTCAATCCCCATGTATGGTGACATCCAGGAACATGGCTTCATCACTGATGGACACGGCCACCGATCAGACACGTCAAACCAAAGATGTGGCATCCCCTAGGTTGTTTCTTGGTCTCATCAGCCCCCGTAGCTCATTTTCACCAGCCACACATCACCTCTGAGGACCGTTGAATCATATTATAAATAGTACTGAAAATAGCCGCTTAGCTGTAATACCCCTTCGGTGCCTAGTTGCCATGCCACCCAAAGGGGTGGCACGATAGCTGAGATTCCGCCAGGTTGTTTAAGCCTGGACAGAAACAGTCGAGATGCCGGGGTTGGGTTTGAAGCACGGACTTTCTGGTCAGTAAGTTGGCACCTTAACCATTGGACTACCTTGAGCCCAGCCACCAACAACCTCAAGTGCACGTGATCAGTAGATTGCTAACGCACCTTCGACTCAAACACACTTCAAACACATGAGCTTAGATTTGCTTCTCACCTACTACGATCCGTCACTGGAAATAATTATGGCACCGAGTACTTCGAACTATGGCACTGAATGGTGATCTAGTGTGCATTCTGCGACGGAAGCCAGAAAGTCACCGCTCATACAGCCAGATCCCTGACACCAGTAGAGCACAATTTCAGCCACATTAGAGAGGGAAGCTCTGGTGATCGTATTTGCCTCGAAAAATTTCCATTAGGTGCTCATCAGTCGTCAATTTACCTTCATGACTGATCACGATCCGCTTTTTTTGGGTTTACCAGGAAAATTCGGCGAAAACCTACATCAGACGAGGGCATAATCCGAATCAATATGGAGTTCAGAGTGATCGGCAATAGAACATTGAGCCTAGCAATCGTTAGCAAACAACTAGTTGATCGGTTTCGCTCCATGGTTGTTTAGCACCAGAAGGAAGCCATCTAGCACAAAAGCGGTCACTGAGCTCAAACCCTGTACTGCTGACGTCCAGCGAAAAGGCGTAAAAGACGTTCACTGTTATCATTAAATTTCAGATCCAAATTAAACTTGCC